AACAAATTATCCTAGAAGGACTGAGGCTTCCTGTATGAAGGGCAAGCTAGTACAGAAGCACCAGCTTTACAAAAGGGAAAAGCACCCCACTAATCAGAATCATACCCACAAAATTCACTGCAGATAAACACAGCAGTAACAATGACCCTTAATTAAGTACAGCCCAAGGTGCCGAAAAGGACCTCCCCCAGCCTCAGGAACCACTCAGCTCCTACAAGGAGAGATAAAAAAAAGACAAAAATCAGTTAATCTACTCAAAGCAGACAAAACAAAAGAACACAAAACAAACATACTGTCGCAGAAACAGAACTCACACTCAAACGGATTACAAGTAGCAAGTTTACCAAAGCTGACCACAGTCACTACTGCCACATAGCGGTCAAAATAACGGATAAAAAGCAGTTACAATACCGTTGAGTTAAAGAAAACTGCTCTCAGCGACCAACACAAAACAAAAACCAAACTAAACCAAAACAAAGTAGCAAAAAGCAGCCCAAAGCAGCAGAACCAAACAGCAACGTAGCAACGTGGCGGCTCCGTGAGTGAGGGGGAGGCGCTATACCGAAATGACCACATCTCACTCAGCCCGCCTTAACGCATGCCAAATCAAGGACACGTGTTACAACCTCAATTTGGAGAGCATGCAAGATAGTTTAGCTCAAGCAACAGAACTAAGTGATTTACCTACCGTGATCCGAGCACATGATTCTCACGATGGTACATACGAAGGTCATGACAACGTTTTTAATACTTGTGATGACAACAGCTGGCGCTCCGACCTGAGCCAGGTTAAATTAACATGCTACACAGTTGGGAGCCTTGACGGCACAGCGCACTGATTATGAGCAGCATATCACGCCCACACACAGTCTCAGTAGCCCAGCGTCACACTAAAAAAAATAAAACTCATGGTAAATAGACAATACTAGCATCACACAGCTAAACAACAAAGCTTAAAATAAAATAAAGTTTATTATTATTATTATTATTAAAACACAATACCTCTGTAGTCCACAGCAACGAAAAGCAAGGGGCGGGTTTTTGACCATGACGCATTCTAAGGGTGACGTTTTGACCACGACACACACCCCACTAAAAAATGTTTAACGATGGCCCTGAGATGTTTTGTAGTGGGCAGTTGAGAAGTCATGACAACTGCCTCCGGTCATCCTGACAGCCTTCTCTGTCCTTTTGATAAGAGAAAACCCAAACATTTTACTTTGTTTTACATAGGTGCAATGTTGTACTTGGAACATTCAATCATTTGTGAGCTAGATGTTCCAGCAGTCTCAAGGTTGCAGTTCAGCAGCAAGCTTCTGACTGGCGTCGTCTGTGACATGGAATCTTGCAAAGAGTCTCAGAGTCTCGTCGCACTACACAAGAAAATACGGGGCCAACGTAGCCTTCCGGCAGGTGTCTCCAGGTCAGCTGGCGTCCCCTTGCGTAAATGTAAACAGTGGCTGGACACTGAAACCAAAAGAGCATACTCTACCACGCTAAACCACGCATGGTGAAGCTATTAATGTATTAGAAACAGGAAAAATTCAACATTGAAACACAGTTTCCACATGAGGTCTTGTGTAACTCGCCACGTGACATCAGGCTTGGGAACAGGATTTAACAGGCGTGTTATACGGGCTCACACAGGGCTTCGAAACACCTTGCTGTAACAGAGAATTAACAATAACGTCAGTATCAAGGGCTTTCGATTCTGATAAGGGATATTAGTGTTTTACATATACAGGATGAGAATGGTTTGACTTAGCTGATTCTGGCCTAGAGAGTTAGGCAGAGTCTGTAACCTGGATCTGATTCTGAATGAGACATATTCTGACAAATTGAGCTGATTTAGGAAATTTACTGCGTTTCCACAATCAGAGGTTTAAAAATTTAGAGGTTTAGAAATGTAGAGCCCGAGAATGCAAAATTAAAAAGACACTCCAGCATGTTGACAAATTCATGCATGAAAATTTAATCATCCAAACATTATAATAATTTGTACTAATATTTATATTCATAACAATGCCTGAATATTATATACTATGGCAATAATAAGAAAGTCTTTTGTCAGGCAAAAATTACTATATATACCTGAGCAGAAGAACAAAGTGTCACAACACACAGACTGATGCCATAAAAGTCCTCTCCAGACTGATAAAATAAAGAATTCTGATAGATTTTTTAACTTTTACAGAAGTGTTTTATTTTTATTTTTTTAATGCTCTTTTAAATATTTATTTATATTTTGAGTCACCAAAAAAATCTCTCTCGCGCACTCTCTCCCTCTCTCGTGCGCGCTGTTTAGTGTTTAGAGTAACGTGAGAAACACATGGAATTAAAATTAAAAGAATGATTTGGAGCTAGGTTTAAGTTTGATCGGCACACTGGGTCACAAGAGCTCTGTGGCTCTCTATTGATTGTGATAATAAGAAGAAGGTGGAGCTGGAAACGTATCTGATTGATGGTTTGATTCGGACCTCGACCTCCCTGTAGCAGCGGGGACGGGAGGTGGGCTATACATGTGAGGATCGGGCTGATATTGACCAGGCTGATGATAATATGGCACAGATTGTGCAGGAAAATACTGCAGGCCACCTCTTGCCCTAGAACCACGGCCACCTTGACCTCTCTTTTGCAGCTGATCTCGTTTTTTAGCATAACATTCATGAGCCCAATGGCCAAGTTTCTTACAATAATGACATGATGTGCCTAAACGATAATCAGGAGAGGTCAGTGGGAGATGAGCACTACAGGACAGTGCTCGCGCTGGCTGTGTGGGCGGTTTATCATGAGTGGGTTTTTGCTTTGAAATCGGAGCAGCAGCGGCGCTGCTTGGAACTTTAGCTCTACGTGGTTGTGCGCGAGGTTTTATCATTCATATGGAACGTTTTAGGTAATTTATCCTGAAAATTATAATGTTTATTCCATAAGGGGAGTAGTCGAAGCCATTCCATATAACATTTTGACATATATTCATAATCCCAAGACGGATCACATTCCCCGTCATAAATCATTCGTTTGATCTGAGCTAATACACGCGACTCAAATGAGCCACGGAGTGAAATAATTTGAAGCTGCTGCGCGCATGAAACTGACCAGCCGTATAAACAAACAATCTAAATATAGAACAGTATAAAATCCACCCAACACCGACTCAATCCAATCTCCTGGTGTCATGCCAGGAGACGGAAGAACCGTGCTGGACGGAGACCCTCCCATAACCAACTTGGAAAATACCACACACAATAACTTAACACAATCTAAATATAACACTCTTAGGCAAACCACACAGACAGTTTTGAAAGTTACATTAATTAAAATTAACTATATAACTATATTAAATACAATACCAGATTCACTTCTAACACCAAATTGTTACATTTCGTGTATGCCTTTTCGATCTCCGTTATGCCCTCCAGCCTGTTTTACCACTATCTTCTAGTAACTTGGAGTTACTTTTAGTTCTATGTTGCTATGAGCTAGAAAGTGTGGTTTGCTGCAGAATCAGGCGCCTGGAGAGTCCGAAATGAACACAAACACATTGACAGATATGAGCGTGTTCAAAGAGACTATTGGTTTATTCATTCAAAACAGAAGAATTTATACACATTGTACACATTGATAAACAGCACTGCGTGGACCGTTTCTACTGGTCAGACAGATTTAGTCAAAACACACAGCACATAGTTATGATACAAAATAAGTCCCATGTCATGTTCACACAGAAGTACATGATATAACCAAGGATAGCAGTTGATCAGCTTATTCAAAGAGGTAACTAAATTATTACATATTCGTCATATATTGGAGAGCAGTTCATAATAAAAAAAAGAGGGTACATAATATAAAATAATAAAAGAATTTCCTTTCACAGGCCATGTGTTTGCTTATCAGGCTCTTCTCCGCGAGCCTTCGCTGTCTGCGCGCGCAAATGCACGGCGCAGCTCCACGACCTGACTACGCGCGGTCGTCCTTATAAATTCTGTGAAACCAATGCAGGCGACTTGGAGAAATCGACCTGTAAACCAACCAAGACTGTAAAATCAAAGCGCTATACAAAGTATGGGGGCGAGGAAATCTCCTCAACCAGCACCAGCATGTTGCATACACCTGGATGATGGACTAAAACCCAAAGTATGAATTAAGAGCAAATAATCATAGAAGAATTATAAGAAATCCAGTGAACTTTGAGATTATCACTTGTCACCTTACAGGAAAATATAGCTGAGAACATGTATAAAACTAAATGGAACGACCAATTACTTTTATTTCATTAATATTCTTTTTTCCGATTATACATGAACCTTTACTTTCATTAAATAGACTTATTTATTGTAGGGTGATTTCATGAATGTTAGCAGTTAGTGTAGACGTTATCAAAAAACGTGGGTGTTTCCTGCAAATGTCATTTCTCACATTTACAAAATCAGGTGATTATGTTCGCCCAGCAATGCAACTATCTCGTTATCTATAGAGACAAAAGAAAGATATTACAGGACGATCATTCTTTACGGCCGCCCATCTATGTAAATGTCTCCATGTGTAAAGACAAAATAATGTCTTATAGAATGTCTTATAGTGTAGTGACTGGGTTCATTTGTGAAGATACTGATGAATGAAACCTTTGTGCAACCAAAAAACACATCTCAGCTTGAGCTTTATTCTTTCAACTTTATGTACAAAGCTAAACCGAAATCAATATTTATTTGAAAACAATTCCATAAATATTTGCGCAATCTGGCTATCTCTATGGTCCTGTATGGATGGAGGATAGAGATGTTTATACAATCGTCCCCTACTGCCGTCTAACTCCAACTGCCATTGGAGAGAAAAAATACATTTAAAGGAAGCAATGAGCCACAAACCTTAATAAGGATGTTCTTGCACAAATCAATGTTTTCGCTGCTACTATTGGATAGGCAGTCCAGTACCGGGTTTGTAAACTGTGCAGGTATGTTAGTGAATGGGTCCTGAGAATTAGACGGAAGATCAAAGCATCTTTTGGCCCGTATGGGAATCGAACCCTTGACCTTGGCGTTATTAGCACCACGATCTAACCATTTAACAGTTAAATTAGTGAAACCCACAAAAGTTAAATCCAAAAAATTATAACACCTTAATGGATAACATACCACTTTGTTTTATTCCACATTTAAACACAGTTAACTAGGAGTATAATAGATATATTTAAATAGATTTCATAAAGTCAGAAAGTGGAAGCCCTGGTAGAGAGGAAAACATTATAAATTCAAGATTACGGCTAAAATCATGTTATTAGGTAACACTGGAAGGCATACATGAAAATTAAGCTATCACAGGATTTCCATCCTTACATGCAAGCAGTCATAGAGATCACTTCAGTTGAACAGGATAACCACTTACTGAGATCATAAGAGGGTGCTCATTAAACCTAGTTCAGAATATTAATATCAGAATGAGTATTTTAACTATTTATGTACACAAACATTTAACTAACATTTTTGACTAAAAGTTTGTTTTATATATATTATATAAATAAAAATAAAGAGAGAAAGAGAGAGAGAGAGAGAGAGAGAGAGAGAGAGACAGAGACAGAGAGAGAGACAGACACACAGTGCAGATGTATGTAGTAAAACACACAGTCTATGTAGTAAAACATTTTAGATAAATCATGCTATTTAGGCTGCTGTCTGTGAGACAAAGCGGATCCTCTGAGAGTACAGTAGGTCGATGAAGTAGAGCACCAGGTTGGCAAACGTGAACACTGCCACCACCAGCTTGCTGTCCCATGGGCATTTTCCCTGGGGGCAATCATCTGGTCGCCCAGGAGAGCCATACTTCTTATCAAAACTGAAGACAGGCCACACCACAGCAGCACTCATGTACAGCAGGAATGCCAGGAAGGTGTATGTAATTACAAAGCGGTCAAAGGGCAGTCTCAGAACTACAGTCCTCCCTGAGACAGTCAGGACTACCACCACCACTGTGATGGCAAAGCATAGACTGTAGACCACTACACAGTACTGCGTGGGAATGTGGCGATGGTACTCACTGTCGTTTGCCAAAGCACCAAAGATGATGCAAGCAATGAAGGCCTGAACTACCTTGAGCAAGCCTGACATAGTGGCCATGTAACCCACCACGTGGCCTGGCTTGGCCCGTGTAAGGAGGACCTCGGCACCATAAGCAAAAGAACAGATGCTGGAGCACACGGTAACAGCAATGCGGTAGTTGCGCACTTCACAGTCTTTGGCCAGGCAATCATTGCTGAGGAAGTACACAGGGTACACAACAGAAGCTGTGATGTACATTAATGTGGCAAGCATGGCAAAGGCCACAGTGAAATTGTCCCAGGAGATAGGCACACAGCCATGCAGACGAACCACATCGAGCACGAAGATCACTAACGTCATGGCGAAACAGAAGCACCACACGAACATGCAGAAGGTACCATAGGTGGCACTAAAGCCTGCGCTGTGAGCCACCAAAGCCATGGTGGTGCAGCCCAGTATCAGTTGGCACATGCGAGCCATACCCAGTACAGACAGCACTGCCTCTCGGTTCAGGTAGTGGCCTCCATATGGATCCATGAGCAGATCCTCGTGGTGCAGTCTGGATGGATTTAAACAGCTCTTCTTGTAGACTCAGAGTTACTGTGCCTCCACAGCCTCGCCCTCTGTCCAGCTTTTTTTAGATGCCCTTTAATTACCAATCTCCTTCAGTGCTTTACTGCCACACTTTGTGATCTGGTGTGTAGGATCAGATTTTTAGTTCTTGTATTGTGTTCGCCTCTAAACATGAATCATTTTTCTCATAGGTCTTACAAATAACTTCATGGTAATATTTAATTGATATGTAAAATTGTCATTTTTCTCAATATATTAAGGACCTTTGATTATATATTGATAAGTGAAAGTAACATTCATTTACGGTCACCATATTTATGCCAAGTAAATTTTATATATATATATATATATAAAATTAAAAAAAGCTTCACCTGCCAACTTAAAAGGTCTTGTCAATGTAGTTCCTTTTAAAGAAGATTGCAGAAGTTCCTCATCCATGCCATAGAAGAACTCCAAGAACTGGATAAGTGCCTTTCAAAAATGTTAGGAAGCTAGAATAAAATGTCAACTTTTTTCCCCAGCCTTGTTTCTGTGTCCTTCTTTCTCCGGCAAACTTTCCCACTTGAACTGCTAGAAAAAAGTAGACAACTGTTGTTCCGAGTTGTACCACACCAGCTCTATAAATAGGAACACATGTCTGTGTCAGGCAAATTTGTATGTAGTTATCCTAGGGTGGGGACCTGGTCTGTGGAGAAACTAGATATTTATGTCTCCCAGAGGAGAAACCTCCTTCACATAGAAACATATATAAGCTTTTATTATTTTTGAGATACTTCACAGATTTCAGCTTGGTATAATATAAAGAGGTATCATAGCAGACACATCAGAAAGTAAATATGGCTGAAAACAAAGTCTTCAGCTTTATATTTTCAACTCATTTGTCTGAATTGAAAGGAGTATAGAGGAAAAGGGCAGCAAACTGGAACTACACAATGGATAAACATTTACCACCATACCAATACCACTTTGCACCTTGATTTTAACACTAGCCATTCATATATCATTAAAGAGAAGTTGGGCTCACAAACCTTTACTTTGGCGTTCAAGTTTCACTGAAAAAAAGTCACATGCATTTCACATATTATTATGTGAGTAATATATGATCCCATGTGGAAAGCACATGCAGTTGCATTTCATGTTATGCCCTAGGTTGACACTATTTTCTTCACATTATTTTTCTTTGCAAGGATATTTCTTACATCACAATGCCATCTACAGTACAATCCATCAATAAACTCACGCTTGGTAAATATGAGCAATGAAGGCTGTGAAAATTGTCTATTGTTTAACCTTTTGATCTTTTGTTCAATAAATTCACAAAAATATTCTGCTCTCATGGATATTAAACAATTGCTAACAATGCAGGTTTAACCAAAAAATATCTGTTAAATATAGGTGTGCCACAATTATTGCCACCCTTATGAAATTATAAGAAAATATATATTTCCCATTGATCTTTAAAACGTATTTTTTTTTTTAGTACAGCTGGGTGATTAGGAACAGGAAATTGTTCAACCATGACTTCCTGTTTCACAGGGAAATAAATATGAAGTAACACACAAGCAAATTCCCTTAGACATGCATAACAATGGGTAAGAGCAAGGAATATAGCTGTGATGTGATCAATTGGTTGTTGAGCTTCACAAAATGGGAAGCGGCTATAAGAAAATAGCACAAGCATTGAAAATGCCCATTTCCACCATCATTGCAATAATTAAGTTCCAATCAACTGGAAATGTTATGAATAAACCTTGAATTGGATGCGCGTCTATACTGTCTTAATGCACTGTGAAGAGGATGGTTCGAGTGGCCAAAAAAATCTCCAAGGATCACAGCTGGATAATTGCAGAAGTTAATTGTGTCTTGGGGTCAGAAGGTCTCCAAAACTACAATCCGAAGTCACCTACATCACAAGTTGTTTGGAAGGGTTTAAAAAAAAAAAAAAAAAAAAGAAAAAAAAAAGCTTCTACTCTCATACAAAAACAAACTAAAGTGTCTTCAGTTTGCAAGACACTACTGGAACTTCAAATGGGATTGGGTTCTATGTTCAGATGAAACCAAAATAGAGCTTGTGGCAAACATTAGAGGTGGTTTTGGCACACACAGAGAGATAGTCATATGGAAAAGTACCTCATGTCCACAATTAAATAAGGTGATTTTCAGGCTGTTTTTCTGCCAGAGAACCTGGACATTTTGTTTTCTGCTTCTTTCAGACCACCAACATATAAACAAACCTACAAAAGTGTGGCAACTTAGCAAACTTTAGCTAGCATGTTAGTCTACAACTGAGCCACAACACAAACCTCAGCATTTGAACAGTCAATAGCAGATACTTCATAAAATAATCAAAACACACTTAAAGGTTCTGATTCAGAAGCACAATATTGTCCGATCAAAGTGGGTATCACCCCACTTTTCAGGAGTAGCCTTTGTGTATAGCCTGCCTTGTACTCACACAGGTTCAGGAAGCTGTCCTCCGTAAGATGTGCTGTGCACAAACAAACGCTTGGGTTGTACTGCTCAGGAACAGTGCCACAAATAAACTGTAACCACTGATTTCTTCCATTTTTGTATGGCTAAACAAAGGTTTTGCTTTTGCACAGAAACACCCACGAACTTCGCGACATGGTGCCTGAATTCACTGAAGCCTTGCCTTCTTTCTCTGTGGCTGATATGCTGATAGTGTTTTCTGTCATGTAGAGAAATTACAGAAGTAGTAATTGCTAAAACTAGTAGAGATAATTCTATTAGATAGAATAAATTCCATTTGGGGGGGTAGTTTTGAGACTTTGCAGACCTTATGCATGCACAAACAAGTACATTACACTCCCAGACAGAAGAAAAACATGAACAAATCATGTTATGACCCCCTTAATTTTAGTGGCAGTAACATTTGCTTGCATCAGTCTAAATTATTTGCCAATTATTCATCTTCTCTCACAGTTGCAAGCATATTACTAAGTTACTTGCGATAACCTAGTGATGGTAAAAAATACCTGTTTACATAATCTGATTTGCATCATTTGTCATTTAACCGCTGCATGTGTTAATTCTCTACAATCTCCTGCTTTTTAGGGTTATAAATGTGAAAGTACAAAGAATGCAGTTTGGCACCATCTCATAGATCTTAATAGGTAATGGAGAATTTAAGATGAATGGAACATACCTCAACCCTAGCCCAAAGCAAAAAGGAATTATCACGAAACGATGAAATACACAAAATATCCAAAAGACTACCAGTGTAAAGAGGTAGCAGCAGCTTTGACTAGGGCCCATCCTTGTTTTGGGCAGAATGGGTCCAAGACAGAATTTTTGGGAAGGGAAACGGTCACTTAAATATAATATGCACAACTATAGCATGAAGCTCAGGTACTTAAGACATTGGGAAATATTTTTCTTATTTTCCAAGAGTATATAATTTTATACCATTTAATACACGTCACTTAACCCTACAGTTTACCCCAAAA